AGTCTTGGGCGCAAACGCATAACTTCTCGACAGGGTTGAGCTCCACTGGTCACGTTTTGTCACTAGAACTCGGAGAATTTCCTCACCAAGCTAGTCACTAGAGAGCACTATGTACGTTACAACATTGGTCGTGAACTAGTTCTCAGTATCTCATATATGTCTAGTCACAATATAACCATTAGTGCCTGTGACTCGGTTTCGCGTGCATTAATTTCTGATGTTTTACATGCTTGACAGTTCATAGCAATTCCATCAACTTAGAGTCTAAGTCCTAGACTGTATGTCAGCGCATATCCGCTCTCTACTGACGAGTGCTAACTATACGAATCTTATGTTCAGCACTTCTTGTCGACTAATTTTAACCGTCTAATTCTGTTTGTTGTTTGTTTAATTATATCTGAAGTTACTCCTCTTACACCAGTAATGAATGAATTATTATTATTATCATTTGATCGTGTATTTTACTTCTTATAAAAAAAGATGAAACTATCAATGAATATTTTCAAACTTTTATCATTTATTAGATGTGGTCGAGCTTATCGTCATATGAATGATAGTTACACTTCACTTCGTTGTTTTAATGATGCATTAAAATTGATTGAAGACAATTGCATGATTGATCGATTGTATAGAAAATTCTATGTTTTAATTATGAAAGGTTAGTTAGTTAGTTAGTTAGTTAGTTTGTTTATCTGTCTGTCTGTCTGTCTGTCTATCAACGTGTTGCAATCCATGGTGTTTTTATTCTTGTTTGTTTTTCAAAAATTCGATTTCTTGCACATTATATGCACATTATCATCAGCGCTGACTGATTGCCCGGTGACTGACGAAATCTCAACTCGGATACAGAAGGCTCGATTGGCTTTTGCCAACCTGCGTTACTTATGGCGTAGGCGAGATATCCGTTTGCTGACTAAAGGACGAGTGTACTGTGCAGTAGTAGTTCGCTCCGTTCTCCTATATGGCTGTGAAACATGGCCAATGAGAGTAGAAGATATTCGTAGATTACTGGTTTTCGATCATAGGTGTCTTCAAAGCATTGCTCGTATACCGTGGGACACCCGAGTAAGCAACGCTGTTATTAGGAAACGGGTACTAGGTAAGGATGGCAGATCAATCGATGAAGTGGTGAAACTTCATCAGTTGAGGTGGTTGGCACATGTGTTGCGTATGCCTAACCACCGAATGCCTCGACGAGTAGGAGTAGGTTGGAAGAAAGCTAGGGGCGGCCAGAGCAAAACATGGCAGAAATCCACGAAGTCATTGACTAGTGGACTTAGTCATGTCGGTAATTGTCGACTACCTGGTTGGGGTCGGCGAGATGATAATAATCGATGGTTAGAGACCTTGAATGACATGGCTCAAAATCGTTCGCAATGGCGCCGGTGCATTTATTCTTTGTGTTCTCTCAAATCCTAATCTTCTGGATTCTTCAACCCCTCTAGTTTTGACTTTCTAAACTTTTCTCACTGAATCATATTTCTTGAATAATATCTTCTAATCCTAAACTCTCCGATTACTTCTAATTCCCTTACTACGTCTTGTACTGTCGGATTTGAATTGACAATTATAACTCTGTGCTGATGTGGTATGGCGACATGAAATG